CTGTGACATGGAACTGCCATGCATTCCAAAGGGAGCAGTAGCAATCCCATTCGCCTGCGTGCACTGTTCGGGTTGTGCTATGGCCCCGGACCCAAAACATGCTACCTTTCCAGTGGGAGCTGTTTCGTAGTGCCTCGTGTCATCCCGACTGGGGCTTGTGACAAGTGAGGGTGCGCGATTGTGATGCTCAAGGGGGGCACTGGCCCTGTTCTCGAGCAATGCGGTATCTGCTAAAAGCGTCAGCGGACAGAACTCACACAGAGCAGACATAACGCGGGTAAACACGGCGAGCCTGATTCGCAAAGGCGGGCTGACTCGGCTAAGACTAATCAAAGGCTTAATGAGCCTTTGATACCACGTTGGGCGCCAGTATGGTGACCCCGCTACTCACCGCAGTGGATGATCACCGCGGGTTCACGCTTAGCGAGCCACAGGGCTGCGACTTCGTCACCTACTCGCGTGTAGCGCACCGCTCCGCGCGCGCTCAACTAATAAAGCGGGAGACACATGGTGCGAATTCGGATGCGATTTGCCGTATGGCTGTTCGTGCCAACAGCCGCATCCGACAGATTTGTGACAACGATTCGCACGCGCGTGCATCCAACTTGCTGAATGTAGCCGCACTGGTTTGGCGGCCGCGGCCAATGGCAGCGCCGGAATGTGACAAGGGGTGCCACAGGTGGGCGCCGTCGCAAGTTTCTGCCTTGCCTTTCCGATCGCCCTCGTACTTGTGGATATCGCCGTTGCCAGTGGCATAAAAAACATTGAATAGACTGTTTCTGACGTGAAATAACTCATGATTGAATAAAGTGATGCTTGAAGTGTACTATTTCTGCAAGGCAACGCCGCTTTCCGAACCAACGACAAGATGTCGAGCCGTGATGGAAGCCCATTTCGCAGGTAAATAAACAGTTCGTTCCCACGTTTGCATGTTACATCGGCGCCGTTAATTAAACCAGTCGCACGGGCGAAAGCGTCATAAGTGTATGAGGTTTTATCGTGTTGGTAAAAAGAAGCGCTAGACAATGAGCTCAAGTCGGAAAGAGAGCGGCACTATCGAGAACGTCAGCCTTGCTAGGCCTACGCTCAGAGTCGATAATGAATGTGAGCTGTGTCGATGTTTATCGCTTGCGAAGGCGTAGCTTTGTTGGCGATGTTATCAGACAACAAAGCATGGCTGCATGAGCTTCTTTATTTTGCGCTTAATAAAAAGGATACAATGTCTTCCGAGCGTGTGAGCTGAGGGGTCGTATGTGGGCGGAGCCTGAGCGCTGATGGCTGTTTGCCCCATGTGTCTTGAACCGTCGCACGCAACATGCGGTGTCAGGCGCCGCATCGGCTGCCAAATCGTACCATGTGTCTCCCGCTTTAGGCGTCTAGCACGGTGTGGCAAAACAGACAGTGTTCTAATAGAAAATACACAATGCTTTATTGTCTTTGGCGGCATCCCGAACAACAGTACAACGTCCGCTCCCGGGACGCGGGAAGCAAAGGCACCCGCACGCGGACGTTCACAATAAGGGGAAACCGCGAGCACGTTGCAGCTGGCAATGGCGAGCTTTGACACGCCGGTAGGGAAAAGGTCCCTCGCGGCTATGCTGTGATCTCTCACGATGGCCGATGGGCCTGGTCGCGAGTGTTAGGGCAAACCTTGTGCGCGTAGGCCTACGGCAAGTGCGGCTCAGTGTGGTACGGCTACTTCAAGCACTAGGCACCGCTGTGGGCTTAGAGTACGGTACCAAAGCCAGCACTCAAGTAAACACACCTCCTGAGGTGCCCAAGGCCACCCCAGGCAGGCTACAGTCCGGCGATTCCCAAAGGGGATGCGGACGAAGGAAAACAGGATGTTTACCCGGCGCCGACCACGCATGAGAGAGCTCGCTCTGCGCGCACGTAACACGTGCCGCGCCCGCACGTGGCGCCTTCTAACGTCACGTGCCGTTACCAGAGCAGAAAAAGTAAAAGGGTGTGGCTGAGCGGCGGAATGCCCGCGAAACGGTCGCGGGCGCGCCTAAGATCCCCACAGGTGTAGGAGCTGTCCTAGCGCACCGAGACAAGGATAGCAAGAAACACCCTGTGTCATTTGCTTCCCGACATCTTCACGCAGCAGAGCAACTTTACAGCCAGTTGAACAAGGGAGGCCTCACCCTCATGTTTGGAGTTCAGAGTTTCTATTAGTACCCGTGGGGGACAAAATGTCTGGGCAGTCACGTACCATAAACTACTGTTGGGGCTACTGGGACCTGAGGAGGCAGTCGCTGTGCAAGCATTTCCTCGAGTGGTATGCTGGGCTTCGAATCTGGCAGCCTACAGCTACCAGTTGATTCACAATCCTGAAAAAGACCTGATACCTGCTAATGCTGAGAGCTGGTTGCCCCTGCCAGAGGTGCCTGCTGCTGTTCCAGAGATTGAGCTGTCGTGTTCATGCTAAAACATTCGTACCCGGAGGTACCGTCCAGGTTTGTGGTGTTGCAGGCAACCAGTCGGGACCCAGTCCTGTCCCAAGTAGCGAAGGCAATGTACCGAGAGGAGTTGTAGCAGCAGTCCTACAGCCACAAGGTTGCTGAGCTGAGCATGGAGCAGAGATGCCTACTTCGGGGTTCCAGGATGGTGATTGGACAAAGCCTTCGGTCTATGATCCTGCAGCTGCTGTACGCAAGGCATCCTGGCATGAAAAAAAAAAAAAAATCAGTATGGTGGCCTGTGGCACATTTGGTGGATTGGCCTGGACTATGACATCACTCAAATGGCACAGAGCTGCCAAATTTGCCAAGAACATCAGTGGGCCTCTCAATATAATGGTATGATCCGGCCCTTTAGGTATAGGTCTTTGTGCGGCAGCACCGGTGAGGCTGATTGATGATTTGATTCGTGGGGTTTAACGTCCCAAAACCACCATATGATTATGAGAGACGCCGTAGTGGAGGGCTCCGGAAATTTCGACCACCTGGGGTTCTTCAACGTGCACCCAAGTCTGAGCACACGGGCCTACAACTTTTTCGCCTCCACCGGAAATGCAGCCGCCGCAGCCGGGATTTGAGCCCGGGACCTGCGGGTCAGCAGCCGAGTACCTTAGCCACTAGACCACCGCGGCAGGGCAGCGCCGGCGAGGCCTATGGCACACAATGACAAGATGCGGTGGGCAAGTGGTGGCACAACATAGTGCAGTTCCAAGCGGCGGTTAGTCCGGGACCACTTAGAGATCATACGGAGGTACAACAGAGACATCCTTAGTCGTCTGAGCCTCAGCCGCAACTTCCAAGCTCGCTATCGTTCAACGTTCTGTTTTTATATGATTGGCGCTCACAGCCATCATCATCACCGTCATTCATCATCATCAGCCTGACTATGTGCACTGCAGGGCAAAGGCCTCTCCCGTGATTTGCCGATCAACTCGGTCTTATGCATTCCATTGCCACGCTATACCTGTGAACTTCCTAATCTCATTTGCCCACCTAACTTTCTGTCTCCCTCTAACTCACTTGCCTTCTGTGGGAATCCAGTCAATTACCCTTAATGAACAGCGATTAACATGCCTATGTTCCATCGGCCCGGCCCATGTCTATTTCTTCTTCTTGATTTCAACAAAGATATCCTTAAACCCTGTTTCTTCTCTGACCCACTATGCTCTCTTCTTGTCTTTTAAGCTTACACCTATCATTTTCCTTTCCATCACTCGCTGCATCGTCATCAATTTACACTGAACCCTCTTTGTAAGCCTCCATGTTTCTGCTGCATAGGTAAATACTGGCAAGATTCAGCTGTTATACACCTTTCTCTAGAGGGTAAGTTGCAGATTACCATTTAAGATTTTAGAATGCTTGCCGAATGTGATCCACCCCGTCCTTATTCTTCTAGTTATTTCACTCTCATGGTTCGGCTCTGTGGTTACTACCTGTGCTGACTAGGTAGTAGGTAGTCTGTACGTATTATGGGAGTGGCGTTCACAGTCGCCGCTCCCATAATACGTACAGACATTTTTTTTAGTTGACACCTGCTTATTAATAAGACTGACTAGTGGCTGATAGGGTAGATCTGCAGCACACACATCTCAACCACTTCCATGGCTTTGAGCAAGCATGTACACAGGGTGTGCACCAGAAGCCTTTCAAAGTCAGCGCCACATGCTTTTCACTTTGCTTCAACCTATAGGCGCATGTATAAAATAGTGCATGAAAGACTGCAAATCCATATGGCACTTCCTGTAAATAATTTATTGTAGTGCACTGCTCACGTCCTGTTAGCCTCAGCCTTAGCTTTGAATTATGGTAATATAGTAATGCTATGGAGCAGCTCAGTTTGAACATGAAGAGAAGATGCAACAGTGAGGAAGGGAAATAAAGACAACAGAATGAGTGCTAAAATGAGCCCTTTTAGCACTTATTCTGGTGTCTATTTCCCTTCCTCACTGTTGCATCTTTTCTTCATGCACAAACTGAGATGTGGTATCGCAATGCGATATTATCATGTACCAACCTACCCAATCTGCAGTACTTTGAATTATGGGCAAAAAAAGATGACTGATCTGAAGAGTTGAGATTTATGAAACTGCGTCTATGCAGCAAAAGCCCAGTTCTAAACACACATTTCAAGAGTTAGATCTTCAGATATGTGTGGTGTGAAAGTCGTTATTGATTTATTATTTACCTCAAAGACTGCAAGTTCTAGAGAGAGGAAAAGAGGGATAGCAGTCCCTGTAAGCTGACACCATAACTAAAGTTTAGTAAAACCCTCGAAAGCAAAACCTGTATATGTCTAGTTGGCCTCTAGGCTTACCTTGATGCTCCAGTTAATTAGTGTAAGGGCTCTTTTTTTATTCCACAACACAGAAGTACAGCTTTCGTGTAGTTCTGCTGTTTTTGCAGCTGGAATATTTTTAGCTCCTGAATGAAGAAAGCTTTCATACATTTAATTTCTATGATGTGCTGCATGAGAAAAAAAAGAAAGAAGGACTGGCACTTGAAACAACACACAAGAGAGGAAGAAATAGAAAGTAGCACCTTGAACTCATTGTCCCTGTCCGGTGGTCCGTCTCTGTAGACGGGACGGTCAAACTGGAACGAGCGGACACGATTCACCCGAAAATAGGCTCGAATACACTCGGGTCGTCCTTCCAGGTCTGGACGTGGCTCTGCCAGGGGACGCACTCCGCACACCTGTATGTCTGCACAATTGAGAAAAGTCTATCAAAGGAGCAGCATTCACACATAGAAGCCAAATTGCCTATATCAAATGGTAAACGACAACAGCAGTCATAACCCATCCAGAACAATATTCGAAACATTTATTACGAAACACAGTTACTTTCTCCTGATGCATTTCATCGTTTGACAGGAACAGCTCCTTCTTCACACGTTCAAGACCCTTGTTCGCATTCTCATTGTTTACTGTATGAAAGAAGTTTTCCAAGGCTTCCACACAAGCAAGGGCATTAGCTCAAGCCTTTGTTCTAACAATCCTCTAGCAACAATGTTGCAACAATTTTTCCTCAAGTTTGTTTTTGTCCCATTACACTGCAAGTAATTCTGTGCACAAACCGCACCTGCAGTGTTCAAGAACTTTTAAGGCTGTCGTAGATCATCTTGTTAACATTACGCGCACAATGCAAACATTACAGATTGTTCTTGAACCTACATGGCTGCTAGCGATAGCGCTAGAATATTCCTTCGCATGTGTAAATGCTGACGCACTTCAGCATTTGTCAGTTAGCCAATGCTCTGTTCGCCGCTATCAGTGCGAGTGTACATCGCTGTAATCTGACCATCCGTTTACCAGCCACAAGTTTGACTCAGTAAACAATTTCATTTTAGACAAGCCATCTTTTCTTTCGTAAGCGTCACAGCCCTGTGACAATATGCCTCATTCGCCAGTTTCACTGCCTTATCCCCTATTATCTCCACTGCAATCTTGGCAATTATTTGTGGCACCCATGTTAAGACACAGTCCTTCATTACAGCAAATTCGTGATGGGCGCACTGGTGACAGTTCACAGAAATTCTTCATCCATGTCATTGTCGCAGCTTTATCTCTATCCTTCAGAGGAACTATTTTAGACAGCCATTTGAAGATTTTCACGACCACCGTGGCCTGCGTACCTGCAGGTCGGTGTGTGTTTGACAGAGAGCCGAGGCAGTGGCTGAGGAGCAATCGAGCAGTTCAGAGGAAATGCACAGGGGGGATTTCCAATACAAAGAAATTGTCGTTGCCGTGCAATGACCATTAGCCACAGAGTGCTTCACAATGTACGCGGCACCCACTGAGTGTTGTTTTCTTCTTGCCTTTTCTTCCCCCATTGGTAATATGTTTGCTCGTCGGCCGTTAGAAAGGGGGCCTTGTTTCCTCCGTCTTTGAGGAACCATTTCGTATGTGGGCGTGAGAGTGGTTTCCGAGTGCGTTTTGCGTCCACAAGCGTGTGTATGTGTGTGTGTGCCTCCAACTTGTGGATGAAGGAGTCCGAAAAGCGTGGGAAACGAAGACTGAAATGCAAGGAGAGCGGGTGACAAGACAGTGTGCGAAAAGCGAGCAAACAGAGCGGTTGGGAGTGCAGCGCAATGTTGAGCGATTGTGCGTGTGTGTTTAGTCTTAGTGTGTTTGAATAGTGTAGGTTCTAACCAAGTCTTTCTCATAATTAAATATAATCAACCTTTTTACCTTTTCATTCCAGTGTGTCATGTGTTTAGTGCCCTAAATTGCATTTAATGTCTATCTTGTGAATATTTGCAGCTATCATTAGTTTAGCGTTAAATGCATACGCTAACATCCTCAGAATTGGGATTGGACCGAATTTAGGAAGGGTTAAAACGAATTAAAAGCGCTAGTGAGGACTACGATCACCCCAGTGCGAGGAATGGTGAACTGCCAAAGTGCGTAACATCAGCTATGCTGGACGAATCGTCACTGGAGAAGAGCGGGCACTGTGATGGAGACTTACAACGCATGACACTGACTCAACAGGACATAGGTGGCACGTCAGTTTATTCCAGGTCAGCCAGCGCTTCGGCGAACCTGAGCTCCCGCGCAGCGCGGGAGTCACGAGATGGGCGAGCTACGCTTCTTGCTGGTGATGATGATGTTAGTCTCTGATGCCACAGCTTCTCCCCTTCTTATAAGTCAAAGGATCAGGAGCGCGGTGCTTTCGCGTTGAGCGCCGCAAAGGTTGAGCAGCAGAAATCGGTGAATCTCTTGCTCTTTCACCTGAAAGTTCTTGATGGACCGATAGTGTCTCAGTGTCGTGCGACTCGTCAACTGAAACGTCACGCTGTCGCACTTGGCCAAAATGCCGCCATTCTGTTCCCTCAGTCGTGTCCACTGTGACAATGCGCTTGCCCTGATGGTCTCGCACGATACCTGGTATCCCTTCCGCATAACGCTGGTCCAGGTTGTGGGAATCGAGAGCGCCCTCCTACCTGGCGCCTCGTTCCCCAGGTGCCGCGTGCGCGCCGACAGCGTAGCCTGGGTGCGCATAAGCATCGGCATCCGCCAAGATGGCTGTCAGGGCGCCTCTTGGTCTGGTTGAGTCAACTGTTGGCTCCTTCCCATGCTGGCATGTCCGGGCACGCTACGCTGGCGCGCTGCGCGGGCCTACGTCACAACGCAGTGCCATTTCCTTTTGGGCCGCGCGTGACATCCTCCTCTCCTACGAGCTATGTTGCGCCCGACGATTCGCTCGTCGTGGCAGATGCTCTCAGGCCTCCACGAGAGGTTGATGCGCTGCTTAGCAGGCGGCTTCTCGTTAGTGCGTTCGACTTCGGCCCTTGTGCGGGAGTCGTCGCGCCCTAGGCAAGCTCGGTCTTACGGAGTACCCTATACGGCCTGCAAGCCCGTGAGTGTCGCACTGTGCTGCATCTTGGGTTAATGAACCCGTTGTTGTTGTTATCCTGCCTCGTGCGTGGTTTCTGCACCGTGCAGGAGAAATCGACGAACCCGGGCGCAGCATCTTCGCATGCAGCGGCAGTGGAGGACGTCGCATCCCTACACGGTTGAGCTTAGTAGGTAAGCCTAGTGCAAACCTATCTCCACATAACTAGCACCCAACGTGGGGTGGCGCCCAACTTGGTTTCGGCATGGCTTCAGAGCAGACCCCTTCGAGGCGCTCATTCCTGTTCGACCCTGTAGCGACGGACTTGATCTCCCTCGAGGCGGACGGCTGCAACAGCACGAGGTACGGCCCTCTCGGCGACCCTCTGCTTTCGTTCACCAGGAGAGATCCCTTTTTCGGGGCCCCCTACGGTGATGTGAGTCGCTTGAACGAGGACCACAGTCCTAGCCATTGATTGATTGATTGATTTGTGGGGTTTAACGTCCCAAAACCACCATATGATTATGAGAGACGCCGTAGTAGAGGGCTCCGGAAATTTTGACCACCTGGGGTTCTTTAACGTGCACCCAAATCTGAGCACACGGGCCTCGACATTTCCGCCTCCATCGGAAATGCAGCCGCCGCAGCCGGGATTTGAACCCGCGACCAGCGGGTCAGCAGCCGAGTACCTTAGCCACTAGACCACCGCGGCGGGGCCCACAGTCCTAGCCAAGCCAGTAACGGGCTGTATCAGCTGTTTGAGACTCACGCGCTTACGGGCCCGTCCCCGGCGCTGTCTCCACTCGCTGGCCTTTCCCCGTCAGCAGCATAGTTGACAGCTCAAATCGCCGCACCCAGTCCTTCCTACCGGGGGCACTCAGGTGTTGGTGGGAACTGACCCGTCGTGGTCGCGAGCGCAAAGGGTTGACGATGTCGTTCGCGAGCCTGCTCGCTTAACCCACAACGTCGCCGCGTTCACCGACGCTCACTGGCCTGAGACTCGCGTTGGCCTGAGACTCGCGTTGGCGACGCCTTCGACGGGCGTTGGGCACCGAGCTCTGCTGTCAACCCGTTCGCCAGTTGCGTGAGGCCTCAAGCACCAGTCGGAGCACAAACCCTACCCTCCTCCATACCGTGTACTGGCCCTTTTCGGTCGGACGCGCATGTTGGGGAACAGGCGCACGTACCTGTTACGGCCGCGCCCGCGTTGGAGCAGTCACCGCTGCACGCAACTGCGGCGCAGCTCCTAAACGTTCTTTTGGAAGCGGCGCGCTCGCAGCCTTGTGCTTTAAAGAGAGACCCCGAGTCCCTTCAGCCAAGCGTTCCTGATGATATATGGTGTTTTTTGGCGCAAGGGCCATTTGATGGCCAAAGAGCGCCAGTTCATGGGACAAGAGATGTGGACAATGATTGTGATTAGCGGCTGTATAAGGGCCATAAAATTCCTCGCGGTAAGGCGGGTAAAAACATACAAGTAATAAAATCATGACCATGCCGTGAAAGGTGTGATTGATTGATTGATATGTGGGGTTTAACGTCCCAAAACCACTATATGATTATGAGAGACGCCGTAGTGGAGGGCTCCGGAAATTTACACCACCTGGGGTTCTTTAACGTGCACCCAAATCTGAGCACACGGGCCTACAACATTTCTGCCTCCATCGGAAATGCAGCCGCCGCAGCCGGGGATTCGAACCCGCGCCCTGCGGGTCATCAGCCGAGTACCTTAGCCACTAGACCACCGCGGCGGGGCGCCGTGAAAGGTGTGTGTGATGCGAATAGATGAACAAAGTTGGTGATAATAAAAGACGATGGTGGATATGTATGGCATTAGCACAAGTGCCTCACTCGTTCATACCCTTGCGTCCAAGGGCCGTGAGGCAAGTGCTTTCTTGTGTAGCCACCGCAGCGAAAACCTCTCAGGAGAGGTCGTGCTACGGAATGCCCGGGTATATGATATGAAAACTATGAATTTCTTTTAAAAATGCTAGCAATGATTTATAACTAAAAAGCGGTTCCCTACCGACGAACAATGGAGGGTGTAAAGGCATATGTTGTCGGTAGGGTAATGGGAAGTGTTGTTTTCTTATAGTGTCCAATTGTTTGCACTGACTTAAAATGTGAAGAACTGTTAGTGGTTCACCACATCTGTCACACAATGGTGGGTCGCCACCGGACAAAAGATGTGTGTGTGTCGTGTATGTGTGTCCTATCCTGAGTCTTGTTAGTGTTACCTCTGTTAGACGAGATTTTGATAATGGTGGCCAATGTCCAAGGTGTGGCTTGATAACGTGTAGTTTGTTTTGTGTGCGTTTATCCCACTTGCTCTGCCAGTAGTCCCTGAGGTTTCGTTTGAGAGACGGCTT